TTAAGACTAGTTACATTAGATAAAACTGACAGTATTTATTGAATCCTGTTATTACTTTATTTTTCTATTGCTGATTCCATAATTTTATTGTTTTTTAAATTTTCCGGTACTGAGGATAGAACCTAGGGCTTTCTCATGTATCACTAGTCCTTTTTTATTTTTTGAGATTGGATTTCATGCAGTTGCCTGGCCTGGGTCCCATTGTTTGATTGTCCTGCCCCAGTCTCCTGGAGTGCTAGGTGTACAGATGTATATCACCATATCCACATCACAATTTGACTTTTAAATAAAAAGGCTCTTCACTCTCTGGTATTTTCTCATGTTCTCCTTGTGAAGTTAAAGTTTCATAGTGCAATAATATAGATGTAATAAAGTAGAAGACATCCAGCAAGTAACTAGAATTAACTGTGCTTTTAAGTATTGTCTCTGATGTTGAGTTTATCTTTGGTGTCCTTAACACTTTGACTTTTTCTCCCATCTTTAGATATCACACTTCAGTGGCTTATTCAACATTCAAAATCTAGAAGAAGCTGAAACATCTCCTGAAGTCTTCCAGCCCTTCTTGGCTATAATCCTAGAATTATTGTCCGTTCCTCTGAAGTACTTCCCAGAATCTGGTCCTTCCTAAACCTAAGAAATTGCCTTTTTCAGAGTTTATTTCTCATGTGCACTGCTGAAGATGTGTAACCCTTTCCTTTATAAAGAATCATCTAGAGTTGTCATGATAAAGTCAGCACAGACAAAAAGGCTTCTCACACATACAGTACTTGTGTTAAACAGTGTGTAGAGCTTTTTTTTCTTTTGGTTTGTTTTTACTTTTACAAAAAGTGCAAACTTTTCACCATCTTAAATCCAGAAAGTTGCATATTTCCATTCTGGTCTTTCTAGGCCAGATTTTTGTATTGGTTTTCAGCAAATGTCTATATTTCATTATAGAGCCCAGTAGCTTAATACTGATAATGACTTGATACAGCATGAAATTTCTAGTGCCACACACAGTATTTAGAAAACCTTTTAAGCCTGATTAATGTGAGATGTAAACATAATGTTTATCTTATCTCACGAATGCATGTGAAATGTATAATTACATCTTAGGAATTAAACAGTGGTCTGCACACAGGTAGCAGAGGCATCATATATGTGTTGCAGGTTCTTTATTCTGGAGAGATCCTACCTGATGAATTTTGCAAATATTCTGCTGAGAATCGCTTATCAGAGATAACAGTTGGGAGTGTGGGAGGAGTTAATGCATGCTGTTTTATATCTGCCCAGATCATAATTTTTTTTTAACTGTTTTTCCTTTCAATACACTTTTTTAAGGGGTTGGGAATTAAAGATTTTCTCAAAAGCTTTCATGAATTTAGAATATTCCAGCCAATATAATAAAGCCTGTTAACAATGTCAGACTTTGTTCAAATACCAGTTTGTTCTTTCTATCTCTAGTCATTAAATCAGTGCTGCTGCATGACATTTTAACCCTTGACTTTTTATATCCAGTCATAAGGTTGACTTTCAGCACAAAAGACACTTATGAACAAATAAAAATTTTTATTTTTTTCTTACGTAAGATTTGGCACTCTTTTGCCTGGTGCCATTTGACATCTTGATTATTGTGACAACTCTAGACCTGCCTGCTTTGTCTAACATAATCATGTACAGTGTCTACAGGTTGGTTAATAGTCAATCACAAAGAGAACTAGGGGCCAGGGATATAGCTCAACAGCACAAGCGCCTGCCTGGCGAGCACAAGGTCCTGAGTTCAATTCCCGGTACTCAAAAATCACACTGAGAACTGAGGAACTAATGCTGTTTATTGTTTGCTTCTATGATACAGAAATGTATAAAAACTTAAAATGGACATATTTTATAGTTTAGTGATCTCCATATAAATAAAGGGACATATTACTACTGGTTCACTTTTAAATTGTTATTCATACAGACTGCTGTATTACATACAACTTCGGTACACTTGCTTCTATGTTGCCTCACACTGTGTATGATTTTGTTTCTTGTGTTAAGCACCACTTATGTAGACAGAGCATTTTCAGATGTGTTGAACACCCAGAGTGTAGTCAATGGTAATTATTTTAATAAATACCAGTTTTCATTTATAGACTGCCATGGCCTTAAAAATATTCTATACAAAGTACTGCACTGTGTTGCACAGACACTACTTGTTTTTCTTCATTCACATTTTTACTGGGGAAAATCTGGGCTTTAATATTTATCTTCTTATTCTTTGAGGCATGTTGCATACTTCCCAAATAGGATGGGTGGTTCTATATGAAGGGATATTTAAACTTGCTATCCAGTATCACTAATGGTCACTGGGAACCATTATAAACAATGTGGGATTTTTTGCCTAACAAGAGGAATTGTAACTACAACGTGTGACTATGTGGGGACTGCCTAGGTTTGTTAATTGACCTATAGCTAGTCCTTAATGTGTTAGTGTGTCTGTTCATTGCTTTCAGCATTTGAAGACATCTAAATGCTACTACCAACATTTTCCTGTGCATAACCCTTGCATGTGAAAATTTAACAGTTATTGAACTTTGTAAATAAGTAAATTTTATTTAGGTGGATGCATTTTTTGGTCTGTTTACTGCTTTTCTCAGCTATATTCAATAAAATTGCATTTTGAGGGTTGTATTAGCGATTTTAAATGTGCATCACGATGGAAGATGCAGAGGTTTTGGAAGAGAATAAAAGAAAATACCATGAGGAAAGGAAGATCTATAGACCATGTGCTAGAAAAAAAATCGCCTTAGCCCTCAAAAGAGTTGGGGTGTGAGGGCTACTTAAAATAGAAATAAACTTTTAAAAGATACAGAGTTGACACTGTGATTCTTTTGGAGGGAAGGGGATACTACTACTTTCATGTCATGATATATAAAATGTGGGACTTTTAAGAGGCAGGAGTTGATACATTTTCTAGCCCAGTTTTTAAAATCAAAGTAAAGTCCTAATAAAATTATAAGACATGCCTGTATACTGATTTCATAATAAAACTTTTTGATGTGGAGGTTTTTCCACAGAGGCACACTTTTTTTAAGAGTAAAACATGTGATCTATTTTGCTAGGATGTTACTTATTGTCTGCACCATGAATCTGTTGATCTCATCAAAACTATTGGAGGAATGCTCAGTAAAGTTTTGTACTCAATGAAGTTTGTTTGGCTTCTCTGTGTTCATAGTGTCATTCTGCATAGCCCACCCTAATTGGCTCATTGAACATGTGATATAGCATTTCCATCCATAAGAATTTTTTTATCAGTGGAGCCATTTAGTCCAGTCCCCCCCTTTTTTTTTTTTTTACATTTTATTAGTGCATTTTAATATTACATGATGATGGGTGTGTTTCTGCAAGTTGATACATGTAGTAAACACATTATTTGGTCCCTTCTCACTTTTCTGCTGGAGTTGGTGGTGGGTGAGGGTTTACTGAACAGATTCTCTGTGTTTTTGTATCTACTTTAATTTTTTTTTTTTTTTTTTTTTTTTCCTTTTGGTGCTGACAAAGTCAGGGCCTTGGCACTGATCTGCATCCCAAAACCTTTAAACTTTCTTATTTTTTTAAATTTTGAGACAGAGTTGCTAAGTTGCCCAGACGGGGCTCGAAATTTTGATCCTCTTGCATCAGCTTCCTATACTGATAAGACTATAAATGTGCTCCACCATATCCAGCTCAAAAAACAGACTTCTGATATTAGTCCCTTTGATTCTATTAAGTAAATTGGGTGTTTTGCGCTCTGCTTGCTTTTGTGTACATTGATTTTTATTTTTTGTAGGAATTACCTATTCTGTTCATGTAGGATGAGTTACACTGGAATTGTATTGATAAGTCAGTTCTAGCCTCTCAAAATGTTGGGCTGCTCTTTGGAATGGAAGCTTCAGTGTAGTGTAGCAGGCACCATATTGTAACATCAAACTGGCCAAATGCTTTATTCTAAAAATGTATTTCACTGTAGGGAAACCCATCATATTTGATTTTACAAATATTTTCATTTTATTGCAAACTTAAGATCATGCCGTACACAAAGCATATGCTGGTGAAGAAACTTGAAAAGGAAGACAGTAAAGTAAACTAGCTTCACAGACTTCCTGTAGGTTTGCTGCCCTATAAGTGCGTGGCCCACTGCAGGTGTTTCCTGTTGGTTGGTAAATATACTCCACACAATTTGTTTAAAATTCAGCTGTTAATAAAAAAGAATGCTCTTGTCACTGGTGCTTCCTGGTTGTTCATTGACATACTAGATAACCTGTAGCAGATAGTTCCTTGATTGTAGCAGTAGTCATTCATTATTCTGGTTCATTAATAATCCTCTCTTTAATAAAAGTCTAAAATCCCAAGGCAACTGGCTTTTAGGTATTACAAATTTCCCAGCAGGAATCAGAAGGGGGTAAAGATGCCTTAGCTTTATTTTGCTACTGTTAGCAGGTTCTGAATTAATAAAAGAAAAGATGTGGTAAAGAGTCTTTCAAATGCTGATATAGCTTGGGTCTCTGAAGAATAAGAAAATGGGTTTTCTTCACTCTTAACTAAATGATAAGACTGGTGCCTTAGCTTTCCAGTCTAAAGTAGAGGGAATTTCTAATACAGTTTTTCCCACTAACAGGCTATGATTCTAGTAGTCTAGAGAACTGTGTAGTGGTTCGAGAGAAGAGAGAAAATGCCCATTCTGTTGACAGAACGTATTCTTTTCAAGTTCTATCTACTTGAAAATTTAAAAAAAAAAAAAAAAAAGTTCTTAAAGCTGCAGACCCATACAATACATATTTCTAACTTTCAATTTTAACATAAGTAAAGGCTGGCCATCACAGATATTTTACAGAATGGTAACAATTTAGATTTTATTTGAAGGAAATGTCATACACATAAATTTTATAATCTGTATATGGGGAGGCATTTATATATTTTGAAGTTGTTTTTTTTTTAAGTCTGGAAAAATGGTGGTATACACTCTGGAAAAGCATGTAACTACCAATTTGGGGGAGTAAGTGGTGTAGAGGCATTTTCTGCTAGAATTTATTTAGCTCCTTGGGGGAGCCTAAACAGTTGGGAAATACTTCCTTTCAAAATAAAGGAGGGGAATTAACAAAACTTGTGTGTTCCTTTTTCCAAGCAGGAAGTAGAACATTAACCAGTTGTTAACTGCAGTCCCTCCTCCACCTGGTTCTTCTGCCATCTAGCACTTTGGCCTGCCCTTAGTGTAACATTCTGTACCACACAGTGTGCTACTCTTTAAGGGAATCTGTTTTTTCTGTTTACCTTTTGGAAAATTCAAATTATTTGCATACCATTACTAAATTTATGAAATCAGCCTTCATTCACCAGCAGCGTTAAGATTTTGTATAACTTTTCAGTGGAACCAACAGTACCCTGTAAATTGGGGCATAGTACATCCAAGCTCAAACCTTTTAGAGCTCCCATTGATAATGAACAGCACAAACACTGTAGCTTCACCATCATGGTATGGTGAATATCAGTTTTGGATGGATGGATGGATGGGATAGTACATTTGGTTTAGTGCTTTAGTATTTAGAACAGAGCAAAGGGAAGCTTAATGCTTTTTAAGTTTCATTTACTTTCTGAATAAGTTAACTTTTAATAGGTAAATCACATGATTCTGAAATTTAAGTTAACACAGAACAGTTGCCTTGATCTTGTATCTAACCACTCCTGCCTTCCTGGTATTTAGAGGTACTAGCTTATTGTTCTAGTATTTTCTTCATCCAAAATACAAAAAATAGAAATACACACATAAACACACACACACATGTAATCTTTTAAAAATTTCTTTTCCGGGGCCAGGGAGGTAGCTCAGTAGAATATGCAAGGGCCTGAGTTCAATCCCTGGTTCCACCGGAAAAAAAAAAAAAAATTAAATACCTACCTTGCATAAAAGGCATTCTGATTTGAACGTGGTTTTTCTCCACTAAGTGTTGCCCTTCTATCTGCTTGTCAATAGACTTGAGTTCCTCAGCCCCATGCCTACTATTTAAGTGGGTGATTTTCATTCTGTGCAGATTCTGTAATTTCCCTAACTGCTACCCTGTGATATTTTGCTTTTATAACACCTTGGTAGTGAATCCCTTTGTAAGTGTATGTAGCAATTTGCAGAAACACCTGAGTCCAAGCATACGTGTATTTTGTTTCTTTTTTTCTTTCTTTTTTTTTTTTTGCGGAACCGGGGATTGAACTGAGGCCCTTGTGCTTGCCAGGGAAGCGCTTATTCTACTGAGCCATCTCCCCAGCCCTGGGTACGTGTATTTGTACTTTGGAATTGTCTTTCATAGAGGTTGTACCAGTTTATATATATATTGAGGCAAGTTCATGCAATGTAATTAAGACCAGCCTTGAACTTTGTAGTCCTAGGTGGCCTTAAACTTACAGTGATCCTCTTGCCTCAGCCTGTCAAGTACTGGGATTATAGGACTGTGCCACCATTACCTGGCCCATGCCCTGTGTCTTCATAAGTGTTAACAAACTTGCATTTGTGTTTACTAGATAGGGGTGTATGTTAGGGGTGTGTGTGTGTGTGTGTGTGTGTGTGTGTGTGTGTATGTGTGAAAGTCTTGCTATGTAGTCAGACAGAGTAGGCCTTGAACTGGTGATTTTTCTGTCTCAGTCTCCCAAGTATGGATGGAGATAATAGATGTGTGTTACCACTCTTGCCTACATACTATTATATTTTAGATCATTTTTTAAATTCAGCTTTTGCAGAATTTGGAAAATTATGTTAACTTTATTCTGAACTTGGGTCTTCACTAAATCATATGTAGAAACCCCTTACCCTGTTTTTGCTCTTAGAACTGTTCCATCATACATATTTTTAAAGTTTGTTTAAGGTCTGGCGAGATAGCTCAGCAGACTAAGCACCTGTTTAGCCAAGCACAGGGACCGGGGTTTGATCCCTGCACCACATGTCACACTATCCCCATTCCCAGGCTCACCGAACCAGCAACCAAGTCCGGGCATGGTAGCACACACCTGTAATCCCAGTGCTGGGGAGGATGAAAACAGGAGGATCACTACGAGTCCAAGCTGTATAGTGAGACCCTGTATGAAATTAAAAAGAATAAAGATAAAAGTTTGTTTCTTCGTTTTTGTTGTTGTTGTTTTTTTTTTTTTTGTATTTTAGGGAAGAGTCTACAGGGATTTCAGGGTCTCACTACTAAATCAAACTTGTAGATATCTGCCTGTTTACAGCCTTCTTCCCAAGAGCTGGGATTACAGGCGTGCACCACCATGCCCAGTATCTCTTCTTTTTTTTTTTTTAAAAAAAAAGTCTTGATTTGTAGTTCAGACTGGCCTTAAACTTGTGGCAATCCTTTTGCCTCAGCTTCCCAATTGCTGTGACTGCAGAAACAAGTATGTATTGCTTCAAAAAGAAGCAATCTGTCTTTTAAAAATTTTCATTACATCATTTGATTTTTTTGTACATTGCTTTGGATAAATTATTTTGTAACTTTGAGTAAAAAATTCCCTCCTGTTAGCAGACTATTTTAACTCTTGGCATTTAACTTAAGCTCTCAGAAAAAAACAAAACAAAACCTTAAGCTCTCTCTGATTATCCTTTGAGGTCATCATGGTACCTTTTACTTGCAGTTCTTTGATTTTCATGCACTCAGACTCACAAAACTTTTGTTTTAAAGTGGTGGGCTGGAACTCAGGGCCTTGTACATAGGCTGTATCTCTGAGCTGTCTCTCCAGCCCCCAGACTCCAGATTGAGTCTAAGAAATGCAGTGTTGGCCTGTGTATAGTGAGGGATGTCTGCAAAGGTATTGATAAACATGTTAGCAAGATCACCTTCCAGCTACAAAAGCAAGGAGGTTCAAATAGGATCATTTTCAATTTCAGCAGTTCGCAAGTATATATGTGCTGGATAATTCTTTTCATTTGCTTTTCGAGATAGGGACTTACTATGTAGTCCAGGCTGGTCATGAATTGAACTATGTAGTATGGTCCATCCTTGCTTCAGACTTGCTTTGCTCTTCCTGGTTTGGCCTTCCAAGTACTGTAGTAGGTACTTTTACTACGTGCTGTCCTGAAAAAGTTCACAGAGTTGTGAAGTATTAACAACAGGGCCTACCACCTATATAGCACTGTTGAAAGTATGTTTTATATGTGTATGTTACAATTACTATAGCTGTGGTAGATAGGTCTTAATACTTCCTCATCTTACAGATAGGGAAACAGGTCCAGAAAAATTTACCAAGGTCAGAGAGGAGAGCTATGGTTTTAACCCTTGACAATTAAACTTGAGTTTGTGTGATTGTCATTTCTTTGGCCGCCTCCAGCGAAGCCTTTTTTTTTTTTTTTTTTATGAAAACACCTACTTTTGGTACTGGAGCTTTTAGGCAAAAGCTCTGGATTCAGGAGTCCCAGAAGAATGGGGTTAGGCTGTTGTATCAAAACAGCAATCAAGAAGACAAACCATGGTGAAGGGTAGGAAGGGAGCTTTGATCTGCATGGTCATACCAAGCAGGGCAGATAAAGAATTTCTAGTTCCATAAGGGCTTGATAGAAGCTTTGGGGTTTTATAGCAAAGGGAAACAGACAAGGTTTTGGGGTTCACGTACTTGGCAGGACTGGTAATCCTGGTTAGCCCTTGGTCTGTTTGATCATTATCTCAGGGCTAGTTGGGAGCCATCATTGCTCAAGGAAACAGAATTCTCATTTTGAGGTAAAGTCTCCAGTTTAGGTTCTGGATTGTCACACTTTTGGGGACCTGAGTGAACATAATCATGAAGTAATCTGAAGCTCTTTTTTTAAGTAATAGCTGGTTTACAAGAATGACTGAAGACTCGGCTATCAAAGGTCAAGAATTTGGTCACCCTGCCAGTAGTGAAGATTGATTTTGTTAGTGCCCTCAGTCTCAAGGGGAAGAAAATAGGCTAGGTAAAATTACAATGAAGCTTATATTACTAGTTTTTAGACATCAAAGTCATGCCTACATACAGAGCTGTTGTATGTATGTTGGGGCCATCACTACTCTGTTGTAGGTGAACAGTCACTAGGATTTGTAAACTATGAGTAAAGCATTAAAGATATAAAATATAAGGAAAGGAAGACTTTTTTTTTTTTTTTCCAGAACCGGGTATTGAATTCAGGGCCTTGCGCTTGCCAGGCAAGCACTTATTCTACTGAGCTAACTTCCCGGCCCCAGGAAGACATTATTGAATACTTTTCTGGAAAGGGGAAAAAGATGGGAATAGCTGCCCTGATAAATCAGAGTAGGCTGGCCTTGAGCTCACTTTGTAGCCAGGCTGGTCTTTAAAGGATCCTCCTGCCTCGGCCTCTGGAGTGCTGGGATTACAGGTATGTACCACCACACCCAGCCCTAGTTGCTCTTAGGGGCTCAAGAAGCCTTCTCTACCTGGAATTTCTCATTTGATTGGGTATGTTTTTTAAATCTTACATTTATTTTTAAAAATGTATTTGGCACATGGTCACTATGCAGCTTGGACTTGTAATGACCCTCCTGTCTCAGCCTTCCCAGTGTTGGGGTTACAGGTGTGCATCACCAATCCTGGTCTTGGTGTGCTGGGGGCGGGGCTGGTGAAGCATGTGGTGCCAGGGATTGAACCCTGGTTCCTGTGCTTGTCTAAGCAAGCACTTAAGTCTGCTGAGCTATCTCACCAGCCCTTTTTATTTATTTGGTACAGGGTTTCCCTATACAGCTTGGACTCATAGTGATCCTCCGGATGTCTCAGCCTCCCTAGCACTGGGATTACTGGCATGTGCCACTATGCCAGGTTTTAGTGGCTGGCATGACACTTAGACCGCTGAACTATCTCCCCAGCCCAGTTATGGTTTAAGTCTAGATGTCCCTACAAAGCCTCAGTGTGATTGTGGTGGGGCTTTTCAGAAATGGCTGGACTTAGGGTGTGTGCTGCTGGGATGAAGTGTGCCCTGCCTTGAGTGTGAATGCTACCTGCCCTAAGCGTGGGTAAGCTGGGTAGAATTTAAGGGACAGAAAGAGGGCTTCTGCCATTGATCGCTGCTGCTTTTCGACTTCACTGATTTGCTGCTTTCTGCTCACCATGAGTGGCGCGTCCCCTGCAATGCCCCTCCGCCACGCCTTGGAGTCAGCCAACCATGGCCTGAAACCTGGCAACTGTGAGCCAAATAAATCCTCCTTTAACTGTATTTTGTCCCAGTAATAAGAAAACTAACTAAGACAGCCAGGTATTTGTAATGTAAATTGTCGTGGGCTAAAGTGTAAGAAACCTGGAATGTAGCTATTTTCTGCCTGTAGCCAACAAGCTCTGGGAATTGAGCCCCTAACCTGATTTTCTTCCTTTGTGGAATAGACTGCAGTATTTTCTGTGCCATCTAAATGAGGACACCTGTGAAAATATCTGCAAAACTATAAAACCTAGACTAGTAGCAGATACTGGTTTACCATGAAAAACATCTTACAGAAACTGAGTGGCTTTCTCCGATGATCAGAGAAAGAGATAAAAAATAAGAGAGATAAATAAAAGAGATTTATTTTATTAGAGCTTTTCTTTAATGTGAGGTAGGCCATGTCATTAATGTAGTCTAGTATTAGTTGTGGTGCAAGGTAAGTTTAAGTTAAAATTTGTAGGAAAGTGGCCTAAGAAGGAAACAATGTGCAGTTTCACATTGTTTTCAGATTCTAGGCAGAATCTGAAAATCAGGCTGAAGCTTCAGCAGTAAAATAGGCCACCCTTCATAGATTAGGAAAACAATTTGTGCAGTCCAAAGACTACACAAAGCTGTTTGTATTTTTACTGAATTTTTAACAATGAGGGTTTACCTCTCTCACAATTTGGGGGAAGAAAGAGTTTGTCATTGAAGAGAGCATTAGTTACTATGTGCCAGCTACCATGTGTCAAATGTCTCTTTAGTGTTCCCATCGCAGCTCCTTAGTATTACAAAAAGCCCCCTGACCCTGAAAATGTGACAATATTATGTGATAATTTATCATTATTATCAATCTGTTGGCCACTCAACCAATTTTTGATTGTAGGGATCCATTCAGATCTTGCCTCCCAAGCTTTTCAGGAACCTGCTTTCACAGATATATAATGAAACTTTAGAAAGGACTAAGTTTACAGGCGTTTAAAAATCCCTAAAGGGTCAACCTCTTGTAAGAAAGCCATAGCCTTTAAGAGCTGAAATCTGCAACCTTCTTAATTACAAGTAGATAGGGAGGCATAGTGGTTTAACACTAAAGTTATCTCACAGTTCAAAGGTTAGGCCGTTGCTGCCCTGCACAGGAGAGATGGTGAGGGTGGAAGGGTAACAAGGATGTTTAAATAGGCCTGCTAAAAATAATGTGATAGTGTAACTTGTCTTTTGAAAAGATTCTACTTCTAAGGCAAGGACAGTATAACAACAGTGTTTCTAGAAATGGTCACGTCCCAAGAATCGTGAAGAACGTTTGTTAAACACTGTCCCCAGAAGCCTTTATTTGGAATGCGATAGGTCTAGGGTAGGATCTGGGAATGAATTTTATTTTATTCATTTTGACTTCTGCTCTTTGAGACAAGGTGTAGCATTGTAATCCAGGCTGGTTTTGAACTCACTCGTGTAGCTGGGATTACAGGGTTGGCCACCAAGCCCGGCTTTCGGAATTTGTTTCAGAAGCACTACACAGTAAGCGAGTCTTCCAAGTTAGGACGCTCTAATAAAAAGAGCAGAATTTGGGTTACACCCGTTTTGTGCAGGCTTTGAGCTAAAGAGTTATCCTCCCTGTCCCACCATACGTACTCAAAAACCCTGCCCGTGATATGCAAACGTAGCTCTTTTTAATATAGAAACCTCTTGTTTCTCCTCCTTATATGTCATTCCTGAGCGAGACCCAGAGCTGCTTTTTCCTGGCCGGCTCAAAGACAACACCTTCCCAGGATCCTACAGGTCAAAGGCCACGTCTTGGTGGGGCGTCCGCCGCCGCTCCCGTGCCGCGCCCTCATTGGCTGGAAGTTCCCTCGCCCGGGGCGGCGAGGCTGCAGCGCGCCACGCCAGCGGTCCCGAGTGGGGCCGCCCAGGGGCGGGGCGGGGCGGGGC